GATTAATTAACAAATAAAAGATTGGGTAGACGGTCAAAAATAGGTGCCGGTGGGCAACTGTCATACTGTTGGACAAGAGACATTTGGAAGGCCCGCTCGACATTCGTTAACCATCTCAAAGGTGATTAATCATCTGAGAGATGCAGATTCCAGCCCACCACTGATGGTGCCTGCCCCCCTCATCAGATTGGCTTATTAGCAACAAATCAACAAAATGACAACTACTGGTGAGGATGTGAGAAAACGATCCTCGTGCACTGCTGGTGGGAATGCAGACTGTGCAGCCACTGTGGAGAACAGTATGGAGTTTCCTCAAAAAATTAACAATGGAACTACCATTTGATCCCCACTCCTAGAAATATATCCCCAAAAAACAGAAACACCAATCAGAAAAAAACATATGCATCCCTATGTTCACAGCAGCACAATTTACAATAGCGAAGATTTGGAAACAGCCTCAGTGCCCATCAGTGGATTACAAAGCTGTGGTTATATCTACACAATGGAATACTATGCTGCTGTAAAACAGAAAGAGCTGTTACCATTTGCAACAGCATGGATGGACCTGGAGGCATTATGCTAAGTGAAATAAGCCAGTCAGAAAAAGATAAGTATCACATGATCCCAGTCATTTGTGGACTATAATGAACAACATAAACTGATGAACAAAAACAGATCCAGAAACACAGATTCATTGAACAGACTGTCAAACCTCAGAGGGAAGGTAGGGGAGGATGAGCATGACGGGGGATCGGGGAGAGATAAGAGATAAATGCTTATATGTACTTGTGTGCATATAAGCATAACCAATGGACACAGACAATGGGGGGTGTGACGGCTGGGGCTGGGGCGGGGGGTGAGGGCAGGCTGGGAGAGGACAATGGGGAGAGAGGACATATGTAATGCTTTCTACAATAAAAAATTTTTTTTGAAAATGTAAAAATGCATGTATTCTTTGACTAAGGAATTACATTTTAATGAGTTTATCCTAAAGATACACTCATATGTGTTTGAAATGAATTAATATGAGGTTTTTCATTGTGACATTGTAATAAAAAAGCTTGAGAAACACCTAAGTGTTCTACAGTAGATAACTAGATAAATTTTGGTAGATCCACACAATGGAATACTGTACAGGAATAAAAAATAATAAATGAAATTTTTATTTGCTGATATTAAAAGTCCTACTATATATTTTTTTTAAAAAATATATTTTATTGATTTTTTACAGAGAGGAAGGGAGAGAGATAGAGAATCAGAAACATCGATGAGAGAGAAACATCAATCAGCTGCCTCCTGCACATCTCCCACTGGGGATGTGCCCGCAACCCAGGTACATGCCCTTGACCGGAATCGAACCTGGGACCTTTCAGTCCGCAGGCCGACGCTCTATCCACTGAGCCAAACCGGTTTCGGCATGGTCCTACTATATTTATTTATTTTTATTTTTTAAAAATAAAACAAATGAGCCCAGCCAGTGTGGCTCAGTGGTTGAGCATCAACCTATGCACTAGGAGGTCACAGTTAGATTCCTGATCAGGGTACATGCCCAGGTTGGGGGCTCCATCCCAATATGGGGTGTGCAGGAAGCAGCCAGTCAATGATTCTCTCTCATCATTGATGTTTCTATCTCTCCCTTCCTCTCTGAAATCAATAAAAATATATTTTAAAAATAAAACAAATGAGATGACAATATCATGTATGCTATCATTTGTAGCATAAAAGAGGAATTGTATATGCCTAGCTATTTATTCTTATACTAGAGGCCCAGTGCACAAAATTCATGCACTGGTAGGGTCCTTAGCGGCTGTCAGCTACCAGATGGGGCCTCCCTCCCTTCCCTTGGCCAGCCCCGCCCCCTGGTCAAACTCCCAGACAACTCCTGGTCGAGGGGACAGTTTTCATACTATGCTTATATAGGATGCACAAAAGGTCTCTGGCACAACTCTGAGCAATTCAATAACATTGCCTACCTCTGTGGAGGGGGCCTGGTAACAGAGGACAAAGAAGAATAACTTGTCAGGAAATTTACTTTAATATACTTATGCCACACTATGTGATTAAAAATTTTCCTAAAAAGACACTCATTTTGCTGTTTTTTATAATAGTAAAAAAGAGGAGCAATCTGCATGTCACAGAATAGGATATTGGTGGGATAAAATTGTACACTAAGACTGTTCTGATATTATACAGTCTGGGGCAACTTGTGTTTTTCTCTGTTGATTAAAGGTATTGCCTGTAGCTTCATGATGGAATCCTGCAGAACTTGTAGTTTTCCTTTTCAAGACCTTCTTCAAGTGTGTCTGTTTTCTTTTTTGTTTTAAAGAGGGATGGCAACAAATTTATTTTATTGAAGAAAGTAATAATAATAACAACAACAATAATGTAACGCCCGCCCCTGACCGGTTTGGCTCAGTGGATAGAGCGTCGGCCTGTGGACTGAAGGGTCCTGGGTTCGATTCCAGTCAAGGGCATGTACCTTGGTTGCGGGAACATCCCCAGTAGGGCGTGTGCAGGAGGCAGCTGATCGATGTTTCTCTCTCATCAATGTTTCTAACTCTCTATCTCTCTCCCATCCTCTCCGTAAAAAGTCAATAAAATATATTTTTAAAAAATAATGTAAGGCCAAGAAAAATTAAATTAATCAATCCCATTGACTTTAAATTTTTGGAGCAGATGTCTGCATAACCCTTAATTGATTAAAACATCAATGTTATATATTTTTATTCAGAACTTATTGGCTAATCAGTCATGATGACAAATATATACTAGCTCACATGAGTGGGAATAGTTTTCTCTCTGATTCAGTTTCTAAATTAGCTTTTTCACTGGAACACCATGCAGTCTCTTATTTCCTTAAACACATCCTAGGAAGTGACTTTATCTTTCTATAATTTATTAGCCAAAATCCAGCAGTCATTAGCATTTTTGACACATGAATTTAAATAGAGGACTTTTCTGTGCTTTATTGTTCCTTTTCAATAAAATAAATTGGCAGCATGTTGAGTCCTTGGGATGGGTCTTGCACATGCAAGACCTCATAACTGTATTTACATGTGACACCGAATTAGTATTATAACATGAGTTTACTAGTACTTGTGTAGAGCCCTCCTTTCCTCGACAGCACTCTGTAGTTGTGCTTTAAAATAGTCAGCAGGCTAATGCTCCTCCATGGCAAGGTGGTTCCCTTTCCTTGGAAAAATAGAGGAAAAAGAAAGGCTGGTGTGTTTTTTAAGTTTGTGTCCTCAATTAAAGCATTTATCCTAATTGTGAATTATTAAAATGGATGTCAACATAATCTTTTACGAAATGGTAGATGATGATTATTTTTCATTTTATTAGTTTGTAAAATCTATTCCTCTAGTCGATGAGAAAGATAAATCCGGTGGCTAATCAAGTGAGCTTTTAAATTATTCAAGAATGAAGCCTCTGTGGCATGTCATCTGCACCTGCTCCTCGGGATTACATATTGGGGATCCCAATGAAGGGTTGCCTTTGTCAGCTGTCATAACAAACGGCTCTTCATAGTACAGACTGGTGGCTTAATTAGCAAAACTTATTTTTTCAGGGTTCAGGAGCCTGGAAGCCTGAAGTCTGGTGCCAGCATGGCTGGGTTCTGGAGAGCCCCCTGTTTTGCTTACAGAAGGCTGCCTTCCTCTTGTGTTGTCACATGGTGAAGAGAGAGGACACGCTCTCTGGTAAGGGTTGAACTTTCAAAGGAATGAAAACAGCAGCAAATTCTTGTGGCTCGGGTTTTTCCAACCTCCATTAAGGCCGCTTATCTTTCTCTCTTAGTTTTTTTTTCTTGGAACAGTTAGATCTCTGTTGTCTCTTAAAAGGTCACGATCCGGTCATAAGGGCTTTGCCCTCCTCACCTCATCTAATCCTAATGACTGCCCACGTCCCATCTCCAAGGTCCATCACATGGAGGGGGCGGTGTTGGGGCTTTAATATATGAATTTTGGAAAGACACAGGCATTCTATCTATAACAAGGGCTGTGATGGTGTTAGGATGATGTTGGGCCAGGGATCCAGAAGGGTTCAAATCCTTCTTTGGTTTAATCTACTAAATTTGGGGAACAAGGGCAAAGCAAGGCAGATTACACGGTTACTAATGAAAGCTTTGTAGTCTAGAGCCCCCGTGCAAACTTTGGTAGATACGCAGTTAGCAAAGGAGAACTCATTTACTAAGTGTTTTGCTTGCATGACCTGCAACAGAGGGTAACAAATCATAGCCTATGAGCCAAGAGTGGCTTTTACATTTCCCATGTTGAAAATTCAAAAGAAGATTTTGTAAGATTTGGAAATTATATGAAATTCAAATTTCATATAATATGTTATTAGAATAAATAATAAGGTTTTGTTAGAATACAGCCATACTCATTTGTTGACACATTGTCGATGGATGCTTTTGTGCTGCAATGGCAGAGTTGCATGGGTTCAAAAGAGCCTAAAATATTTACTCTCTGGCCCTTTAGAGAAAAAGTTTGCCTGTTCCCAAGTCTAAATCTTGGCTCAAAATATATTTCAAAAAGATGCAGAGCCATACCCATCAACACTAGAAACAAATGGATCCGGAGGCAGAATATTTACTCCAAAGCATGGGTGAGCTGGTTTTGAGACTGTCCACTTCAAGTTGTGTAATGCCAGACCGAACTGTTCCAAGAAGAGAAAAACAGATGGCCTTATGGGAGAAGGGAAGAAGACAGAGCCACAGTAATTTGCTGATGTTTTCATTCCTTTGGAAGTTCAGCCTTTACCAAGTAGAATCCTGGGCCCTGAAATGGGACCAATCTAGATCGAGATCTTCCTTTGAGTCTTTACCCCTTGATTGATACTTACCATTCAAGTCAAAGGAGATGGAGGTATGGGAGCTGAGAGTGGTACCCTTTCTAAAACTCAACCTTAATTGATGAAAATCGGTGGCATTATTGAAATCAGGCCACTTCCTTCGTCCCTGACTTGTTTTCTCCCTCCTCCCCTTCCCTGTCACACACAAGGTGATTTTAAAGGATGTGGACTCGCTCCTCTACGTGGACACTGACGTTCTCTTTCTGAGACCCGTCGACGACATCTGGAAGCTCCTGCGGCAGTTTAACTCCACCCAGCTTGCAGCCATGGCCCCTGAGCATGAAATCCCCAAGATCGGCTGGTACAGCCGCTTTGCTCAGCACCCTTTTTATGGCTCCGCGGGAGTTAATTCGGGAGTCATGCTAATGAATTTAACTCGTATAAGAAGTGCCCGGTTCAAGGTAAGGAAGTACTTTATTTTCCTTGTTTAAAATTTGGAATTTTGTCTTTTCCGGAGAGTCAGTGTGCTGATTTGGAAATCGACAAGTAAGGATGGAAGGAGCCAGGGAACGGTGTTTGGAGAATTGTGGGATATTTGTCTGCTCAGGAAAAGCCCAGGGGGTAATTGAATCTAAAGCTTCAGCGGAGTTTCCCTTCAGGACTATTGCGCTGCATTTCTGAGTCCTGTCATGTTTGAACTCCGAGTGTATCCAGTGCTTCAAAACCCTTGGGGACTGTCCTTGGAATCGCCGCAGGGTGTATTTACCTATGTACACAGATGTTTGTACAAGGCTGTACATGGTCTCATTTTTTATCCCAGCAAATAATGGGAACGGTCCTAACTGAACAAAAATAGAGAACTAGTCAAAAATAATCCTCCTATTAAAAAGAATTAGGTAGCCCTAGCCGGTTTTGCTTAGTGGATAGTGTCAGCCTGCAGACCAAAGGGTCCCGGGTTCGATTCCAGTCAAGGGCATGTACCTGGGTTGCAGGCTCCTCTCCACCCCAGGCCCTAGTCAGGGCTCGTGCAGGAGGCAACCAATCAATGTGTTTCTCTTACTTTGATGTTTCTTTCTGTCTTTCCCTCTCTCTTCCACTCTCTCTAAAAATCGATGGAAAAATATCCTCGGGTGAGGGTTAACAACAACAAAACAAAACAAAAAAAAGAGAATTAGGTAAATCTACAAGTAAGATAAATAAGATCTCTAAACAGTATTAAGTGAAAAAATTAAAATAGAACAGAGCATGATATTGTAGGGTATGATTCCTTTTATGACTTAGAAATTTCCAGAAAAACACCTAAGAGACTATTAATTGTTAATTGTAGATACTTCTAGGGAAAGTGGAAATGGGAATTGTAGGAGGATGGAGGAAGAGTACTTTTAGTGTATTTTAGATCTTTGTATGCTGTTTGAATATTTAGTCTGTGAATGTGTTGCTTTTATTTTTTAAATTAAATTATTATTTTAAGACAAGAAACGTGTGTTTTTCCTTAAGCTGCCATAATGCTGTTATTCCTATTCTGCTCCTTCACTGCAGAGGTCAGGATGAAGCATGAGAAAGAGGTTCATTCTGGGGCCTGATTTTCTAAGTAGAAATCATGTCCCAACTACCAGTTCCTGGCCCACCTAGTGTCCATGGGCACATTTACAACCCTGCCATCCACAGCCTTGTTTCGCTTTGTGCGGTGCCTTGAAGTCAGCAGGACCTCTCCTCTATTTGCTTTTGGGGGGAGAGGGGCCCAGTCCCTCTACGTTGTTTCTCAGTGGACAAGATGGATTTTCTTTGCTTCAGCTGCTCCGATGGTTTCCTCTTTTCCAGAACAGCATGATTCCAACAGGGTTGGCTTGGGACGACATGCTGTACCCTCTATACCAGAAGTACAAGAATGCCATCACGTGGGGAGACCAGGATTTATTAAATATTATTTTTTACTTCAATCCAGGTAGGTTGTTTTTCCAGAATGTCATTTGTATGGGAGTGTACCCACCTCACCCCATAGAGACGTTCCAGCCAGGTCTAGACTGTGAGCATGAGCTTTGTCTGCGTCCCCTCCCCACCCAGCTGGCTCAAGAGCCCCTGGGATCTCTTGGAGGTGGGTCTTTGTACTGCTGACACAAAGACCAAATGATAAAACCTCCAATACTGGATCCATTTTTTTGAGAATCTCTCATATTTTGCCAGCACAATTCTTCTGAAAAGTACAGTCAAAATTAATGGGAGGCACTGAACTAAATGAAAACGTTATCATCTAGGCATGAGGCCCTCTTCGCCTGAACAATGTCTGGCTTGAAGGGAATGGATTCTTGGGATCCTGAAAGGAAAGTGACTTATTCAAGGGTAAAAGAGCCTGAATAAGGACTCAGGTTCCCAAATCCCTTTTAGTTTTCATTTGGGGCAAAGGGAAATTCTTTTTATATTGTTATATCCATGATATTGTGGAGTTGAGGGGGGGGGGAGAGAGACAAACATTTCTGGTCTATGTTTTTATTTTGACATTTAAAACTAACAACATTTCCTTTTAAAGACTTCAGCCTCTGGTTGCAAATCACCCTGGACCCACCTGCTATGTACCTTTATTTTCTTTAACAAAACCCTGGAATAAAACCTTTGAATCAAAAAGGATCAAATGCAAGGAAGGCGGGGGGCAGAAGCAGGTGGATACAGTTTCTGGGAAAGATACCCACTGCTCATTCATTAGACAAAGGGAAGATGTTGCCATTCACT